ACTCGATGACTGCATATTGCTTTGGATATCTTCAACAGGTGTCAGGGTGAAGAGAAGATTCTGCGTAGGTGAGTGTGTGTGGAGCGGAGAGGCACTTGTGATGATGAACAACTCAGCCAGTGTGTGAATAAGAGTCAGTGGTTCACATGATTATGTGGGGTCTATGCAAAAATGTCCGCATTTCTGCAAAGGCCAACAGGAAGTGCGTCTTATTACCTGTTGATGCTTGCAAAGCACACACACACCTGCACACTAACCCATACACTGTTTGTTCAACCGAATCCAATAAGCTCAGGGAAATCAATTGGACAGATCAGGACATTTAATGAGTCCAGTGCTCACCGGCCAAATTCTCTCTAAAAAAACCACAACCAAGAAGCAAACCTGGTTAAAGAAAATAACCCTTTGACCAGCAGTCATGGTAAAGCCGACAAACCCCACCCCAACCACCCCCCTTCCTCCATCCGAACCTCTGCAGTGACAGGTAGATTAAGGGGCGTGATAGATGCCCCTCTCTGTATCTCCCTCTCTCCATCTCCCCTCCTTTCCCTCCCCTCCATCCATCATGGCGGCTGGTGTAATTGTGGCTGCGTGGGGCTGGCAGAGGGAGCCTCCATCCATCTCCTTAACAACAAACAGTCACCAGGACGGATGGCGCTGCACTCCCCAGTTAATCTCCATCTATACGGGGAGTGGGGGGGGGGATGGCGAAGGGGAAGGGAAAGAGGAAAATAGCAGAATGGAGTAAGGTAGTGTAGGCTTATACCGTAAACAAAAAGAGCTGGAGAGGGGAAGGCAGATGGAAGGAGGGAGGGAAGGATGGTGGAGTTGAGAGCCCATGCCCAGATGGGTAGAGGCAGTGGGGATGAGAGGAAGAGGAATGACCCAGGTGGGGGGAAAACAAGCGAAACTGGATGTGAAGTTTGCAAACAGGCTGCAAGAGCAGGTCGATAAAGGTGGATTTGTTCGGCGAGTGTGCCAGATGAAAACAGGAGAGATGGGGGAAGGGAGGGGGATAAAATTTATGTCTATGCAGCCAGACGACCCAGAAACTGGAGAGGCACAGGCTCATAAAAATGCACTCTGCACCCCACCCACCCCGTCCACTACACCTCACTCATACCCCCTCTGTTTCTCTTCCTCATCCTCTCTTTCACCCTTTACCTCCCTCCGTCCCTTCACTCCCTCGCTCTTGAGCAGGCGGTGAAGGGTCACAGCTCTCTGATGTTTTCGGGCGTTTGTGCGTGGTTGCCAGAGGTCACCACAGCCATATTCTCTTAATGGCGGAGTCACCGGAGTCAACAAGGCTGGGTGGCCTTCTAGCCTAACCTCCATCTCTCTCTTTCTCTCTCTCTCTCTCTCTCTCTCTTTCTCTCTGGCAAAGTAAACTAAACTCGCCATTTGCAGCAAGGTGGAGGCCGCACCGGTTTCTTTATGTCATGGGTTTTCACTTGCAGATGATGGATTACCATTTATACAATGTCAACAGCTGGAAATGTCATATTCCTGTTTGCGGCAACTGCATCACAAACTACAGTGGGCACAAACTATTTGGAGAAGTTTGTAATTTAGTCAGCACGCCCAGCTCTTTTTGTAAAGACATACAGGAGAATGCAAAGCTGCAACCCACACGCAATCCTGCAGGTAAACCACACACACGTTCAACACATTTCCACTCTTCACTTTTTCTTTTCTGTCTTCTAGCCTTTGGACATCGTCTGTATTGAGCACCGTGCCTTGACGCCTACCCTCAGGCAGGCATGCGTACATGCAAACATGCAAAGCAATGGACACACACATGCATACAGTCTTGTGTTGGTTGTCCCGGTGCACACACTCCACAGGCCTTGGTGGCTGCAGAGGAGGCAGCACTTAAGCCCAGACAGGCTGTGACAAATAACTGCAGCAGCCTTGACATGCAGAGCCTGCCTAACGCTGTGGTGCAGACTGTTTCATACAGGAGAGCCGCAACCGGGAGAAAGTCACGTAAACCTTCAATTCATATTTATAATATTTTTTTAATCAAGCACCACATGTATTTGTGCGTTCAACATAACAGGAGGTTGTGGTATCCTGCTGAAAATGTATAACACAAGGTTGTAGATCACTAGTAATACTACCACAAATCCATACTCCATGTAGGGTGTTTACATATACAGGCAGTTATCAAAAGGAAATGTTTTTACTCTGGAACAAATGTTATATGCTTTACTCCCACATCCACTTTTTTTCTTTTCCTGTAACTCCATTAAAACGTGGTATGTAGAAAAGAGCGGCTTGCACATCCGAGAAATGTGGAAAAACACATAAATGACTCTGAAGCATTCTTATACTGAATGAGGAAACAATTCAATGTTGCACGCTCATATGGGCTATGCATGAAAAACCTGTTTCAAAAGGAAAGAAATTAACTTTGTTTGAAATTTTACAAAGAAATGCACATTAGGGCTATATTAACCTATGGTGACAAAACCTATGTTCAATCAGACTGACCTTTTTTGAGCACTTATAAAAAAAACAATCAATGAGAGCCGGGTAGTGAATTTGAGTTTTAAGCTGGGAAGGGACTTCGAAACTGTAGGTTTCAGAATGATTAGATGATTTATTTTTTATTTTATTTTTGATCCCATCTTAACTTCTTAATGAATTTCACTTTCCTGCTTGATAGGCATATATAGGATATAGTTAGGACATGTTATTTAGGGCATCTGCTTCTCTGGGAACAGCCGATGCCATTGAATTAGTTTTCAGCATAAACCCACCAACATATGTTGTGTTAAAACATGTTGCACTGAACTCTGAGTGTAGGTGTTGCCCCACAGACACACAAGTGATAAAGAAGGACAGATCCTCTGGTGTTTGTGATGTAAATGAGTGTAATCTACACGTTTAGATAACAGTCTGTTAGATAAATGTTACACAAGCTGGAGATATATGGTTCAATGCAAGCAACAAGCTGAGGCGTCCTCAGGTGAGATCACTCATTACCTCTCGTCATACGCTGCTGTGTGACTTGTAAACTAAAGGTTTTCCCCACAAAGAGATGAAAAAAGAAACTGGATCCCTGCGAACATGAATTCGTCAGATGGCTGCACACTTAAAATGTTAATCCTTTTTCATTCAACCTGTTAACAAAGTGAAAACAAGCCGTTTCCAGCCCATTGACACCGCTGCACGGCTGTGTTAACCGGGCTCAGTGCAGGAGGGGGTCGGTCGCTCTGATCACTCCTGCAGGGAACCAGCACCCTGCGGAGTTGAAAGACCCCTGCGGCCGCGGCGGTGGTTGCTGCATGGGGCCCGGCCGAGCGGTCAAATCTCCACGCCGCCCACGGAGCCTCCTGCCCCGGCCGGCTCTTCCCCCGCCAGGCCGTAGCTGATTGAAGTGCAGCCGCCTGTTGGCCCCTCACAGCGGGGCCGCGGGAAGAGGAGCGTCCCGAATAATTATTATGTTACTCAGGTGACATTTACAACACAACGCGGGCAGTTTAGATATTCCACCGACATGTGAAAAGCTTGTTTTCTCTCTCTGGTTAAAACGAAAAACTTTCTCACGATGATGGTTTTGTTTTCTCACTTCTGCCAATCAACAAACAGCCGGAGGGGCCACGAGGGGCCTTCAGGGGCCATTTGGGCTGCAGCCACAATACATGTCCCCACAAAGACAATAAAACACTTGGAGAGCGATTATCAGCCAGTAAATTCTGTGTCATCCAGCACACTTCAAACTTATTTATGGTCCAGCAAGAGGGAAACACTGCATTTACTAATGTTTCTATTCAAATTCTAAACAACTTCATTCGTTAATCTAAACTAAAATGAACTCTGCTGCAGGAAAAACATATTTTAGATTTGTATGATTGTCTTTGAATCCTCACCCTCAGTGGCGGATCTAGGATTTTTCTAAATCGAGGGCCACAAAGTTCCCCATATTTGTCCCATATTATCCGGCCACTTCAGCCTGGTATTAGTTTACCATCTCAAGTTACTTTATTTTCATTTCCAGCGTTATAATGACGCTGTGAGATTATCACTGAAGAGATGTAGATGTCAGCGCTCTCCAATCGATCCTAAGAAATCTCATGGACTATGAATTTATGACTCTGAAAATAAAATCATCTCGGTGTTATCAAATATTGAGTTTAGCACTTGCACGCCAATCCCAACTGTGGAGGCAATGCCGCAGTTGTCTTTATGTTAGACAAAAATTATAATTCTATATTTATTTAAACTTTTTTTCTGTTTTGGGATTTAGAAGTTATGTATTCTAATTTATGTTGTTTTGTATTTTATGCACCCGAGTCTAAATAATAAAATCATCATCTATGAGGCACTGGTTCTGCATGTACTCCATATACACTTTATATGAATATTTTTTCAACTATATTGCACTTTTGTTTTACTCTATATAGCATATATTGTTACTGGAATCGTACAGCAAGCTGGCACAAGAATATCCTTTGGGATTTATGAAGTTTTACAAAGCCGCACGTTATTGAATATATTTTGAAAATGGTTTCTTGTTCTCGCACATTACTTAAAAAAAGCTTAGAAAATAATCATATTTACTGTTAGTATTTTTGGTGTCTACTGTCGCTTACTGATGATATTTTAAATGTGCTGCCTTTATAATCATATGATGATTTTATTTTTACAGCCAAATATAGGTAATAATGAGAAGTTTCTGTCTGTTACCAAATATTGTGATCACTTTAATGCGATTGTAGATTCATGTTGTTGTTCATGTTCCATCTTTATGTACAGTCTATGGTTCCATCCCATACACAGACAGAGTTATCACGGTTCTTCTCTGCAGTTATCCCGGGGTGATAATAGCGCAGCTGCAGCGAGGATGGGGGAGATAAAGAGGGAAGGATGGGTGGGTGAGGATGAGAGGAGTGGTATCAGCGACCGAGGGGGTCCTCTTTTTCTTCTTCTACTACTTCTCCTTCTTCTTCGCCGTTTGTTTGTGATGTGGTGGAGGAGGAGGAGTAAAAGAGGAGGAGGAGGAGGAGAAGAGAGGGAGGGGAGCCAAGAGACCCCGTCGCGTTTTGACCCTCGGAAACCTACACACCACCACCACAACCACCACCATCATCCCCACCATCACTCCTGCTCCTCCTCCTCCTCCTCCTCTCCGTCCTCTCTCCTCTGACTCCAAACAACACCATCGCTCATTCGCAGTCATCTCAGCCGACCGTCGCCGTGTGGACAGCGAGCACAAGGGGCCAAAAAGGACAAGAGCGGTCGCTTCCTCCGTCTGAACCTCCACACGCACACCGAGCATCCCGAGGCTCTGCGAGCCGGAGCGAGGGGCGCACCAGTCGGAGGCGAGGCGCTGCAGGGACCGCCGGCTGCTCGCTCCAGAGGAGGGTCTTTTTTCTTCCTGGACTATACCCAGGGAGCAGCACCCGGACTGGACGAATATTTACGTCTCGGTGGGACATTTTTTTTTTGACACCATTTACAGGAGCGCTCAACATCACCGGGAAAATCGTTTACAATAGCATCAAATGGGCTGCGAGCTTTATTAGAAGCGTTTATTGGCTCTTAGCGTATTGTAATATCACCATCAGGCTGGGAGGGGAGAGGGGGGGGGGGTTCAGGGTGTCCATAAAATCTGCAGTCCCATCATTATGTTGTAATATAAAACGCGATGGGCTCCGAGTAAACATGAGGAACAGGTCCTGAGTGTTTTCTGTGTTTCATTATTAAACCTTGCAGATCGCTTGTGCCATGGTGTTAATCATGTCCTCAACTTCATAATTGCTCATGCACATAATAAAAACACTTTTTTCCCCCTCTCTGCAGGACTCCGGGGACAAGAGGAGGAGGCAGCAGAGCTCACTGGACTAGCCGAGCAGCGCATCATCCTCTCCGGGTGGAGGGCTGGCTGTCGAGTCGCATGGAGAAGAGGGTACGTCCGCTGTGTGTTTTTATTTTATTTTATTTTATTTTTTTCATTTTCTGTTGATGGTTTAGAGGAGACATATTTTTCTGTGTTACCAAGGAGAGGAGGTAATTAGGAAATCCACCATAATGGGAGCATATGGCTGGGAATCCTCTTTGCACTGCACACAGTCTCTGGTTTAGCAGGCACACACACACACACACACACACACACACACACACACACA